TCTGCTGGGCCCCGGGAGCTGTGGCCGGTGGGGCAGGAGGTCCCCCCTCGGGGAACAAGGGCCTGGGCCGGGCGCTTGCCTTTGAACCGGACAAATGAGCATCTTTATTTTGTCTCAGGGAAGTTCCCGGATGTTCAGGCATCGACCCACAAACCAAGAGGTCACGGGTTCAATTCCTGGTCAGGGCAATGCCTGGGTTGTGGGCTCGATCCCCCGTGTGGGGCGTGCAGGAGGCAGCCGATCAACGATTCTCTCATCATCGATGCTTCTATCTCTCTCCCCTTCTCCCTTCCTCTCTGAAATCAATAAACATATTTAAAAAAATAAAAAAAGCATTTTGTACAACAAGAAAAACCCCAAATTATAAAACAACTCAGGAGAGGTTTATTGGTATTGCCCAAAATCTTCCACTTCATAATACCCCTTCCTTAGTCCCCAACATCACTGAAAATAGATTAAACAAACTTAATTTTCCCCCAAACTTTAATGGGGCACAATTACTGCCTAAATTATGGCCTACTGAAGTTTCACTAATTTAGCACATATCCAAGCTTCAATTTATGTGCAGGCCACTGCACCAGGCAGGAGTGTTTTCCATGGTAAACCTTATCTAACAGGCTTTTCTACTGTGCCTGAAGACTGAATTCAGTTGCAACCTTAGTATTCACAAAGTGACTCAGACTCCAGCTAGGAAGTCTGGCCTGGCAGTGGATGAACTTTGTAGCTCTCTGGCTGCTCCCCGCCCCCCCACCCGCCACTGGGTCCCACTGCGTCATCCCCGTCCCCAGGGAGGCCCAGCCTGGTTCCTGCCTCGCGCCATCACTCCAGCAGAAGACTGGGAGCCCACACGAGGGGGTGCGGGGGCTGCAACCCCGTCTGGCACGCTCGTGAGCCGAGGCAGGGCCAGCAGGCGGAGCGGGTTCTGGAGTGGGGGTGGGGGAGCCTTTATAAGCCTGGCAGGGGGACCCCCGGATGGAGTGAGGGCCACACCCGGGGAAACCAGCCTCCAGCACAACACGGGTTGGGCCTCAAAGGCCATGAGAGCCCAGGAAGGCCCTGCCGGGTCCCCCACCTCCCAGGGAGCAGGGAGGTGGCAACGGCGGGGTCATCTTCAGGGGCCACTGGCGATCAGCCAAAGCCAGCGGCCCGCGGCCCACACCCCAGCGATGGCAGAAACACCGGCCGCTCCCGCCCCGGGCTTGGCTCCAACCCCACCTCCAGGGACCTCGCAGCCATGTGACAGGCGCTGGGAACGGCTCTTGCCCGCTCGCACCCTGGCCGCCAGTGCTGCCCCATCGCCCCTCCCTGTGGGGGTCGCGCCCAAGGACCTTCCACAGAAGCTGTGATGCCCGCAGCGGGCGGCCTCGTGCCTGTGTCTGACACGGTGCAGGGACACAGACGGGAGGACGGGCTGACGCCGTCACAAAGGGACCAGGGGGACAGAGCAGAGGAGCCGTGGCGCCGTGCCCAGCACGGGGGTGGCACCGCGGGGCCCCGGGCCCCTGCTCTGTGGGAAACAGCACAGCTGGCTCGCGCCGTGTCTCCTACAGCCAGCGCCCTCGTGGTGTTAGGGGCCTGGAAACCTCTGAAAGCGCCACGGGCACGGATTAAAGGTGTGAGCGCGATGGAGGCGGCGCCCACTGCCTGGCCCCGCGGCAGCCCTGCCTCTGCTTTGTGTCCGGCCTGTTTCCAGGAAGAGGGTCTCCAAGGGCCGCAGCCCACCCCGGAGTAGCCAGCCTGTGGCCGACTGACACTCACCCTGTCTGTGCACCTACACACAACAATAATAAACAATAATAATAACAAGACAGAGGACCACTCTCTGGGGACCCAGGGCCCAGCCCCAGGCCAGCGCCAGGCCGGGCCACCTGAGAGGGTCGCCTGACATTGAGGCAGAAACCAACCGGGGACCCGGCTCGTTGGGAAGCGCTGAGATGCAGGCGGTGGTCCGGGAGCCGGGTGGACCCGCGCTGTGGGGGTACCTGCTTGTCTGGGCAGCCCCAGGCCACTGGGCCAAGCCAGGAAGTGCCCCCCCAACAGGGCCTGGCCTGGAAGAGAGGTTCCCCCGGGCTCAGCGTGCGGGGCTCCCCTCCGCGGCCGGCCAGCTGGCAATCCCACGGCAGATGCTGTTATTGTCATTAACGCACGAAGAACCCGAGGCCCAGAGAGGCTGAGTAACTGGCTGGGAGCACACAGCGCGGACAGAGCCATGGCTCTGGACCCCCCAAAGGCTGCGGGGCCCTCCTCCACTCGGTCACACTGCTGACCTGTCCCAGCCGCCAGGGGAGGTGGCAGCGAGGCCGCAGCCCCAGAGCCTGGCTCGTTCTGAGACCCGTGCCCAGGCCTGGACCAGCCTCCAGCTGACCTCCTAGCTGGCCAGACGGCTTCTGCCTCCGCCAGCGGGGAGGCCGAGCACAGAGGTGCGGGGACTGGCTCCCCTCTCCCCTCCCAGGCCAGGCCCCTCCTGTGGGGCCCCGCTGTGTCCCTCTGACAGGAGCGGCCTCCTCCCGACCTCCCTGCCTCCAGCCTCGCCCCCTCCTGCTCTCCTCCAGGCTGCAGCCCGGGGCCATCTCCCGAGGCCAGATCTGGCCTGTCCCTCCCAGAACCCACTGCCTGTGGTCCCCGTCCCTACCAGCCTGCAAGCCTTGCCTGGTATGACCCCCACACACACACTCCTGAGGCCCCAGGGCTCTCCCCAAGATTGTTTCTAAATCCTCCAGGGCCCCCAGACAGTAGGACCACAGTCCCCATTTCACAGCCCGGGAGCCGCGGCCCAGGGTCCCACAGCCCGAAGCAGCCATGCCAGGCTGGAACCCGACTCAGCCTGAGTCCTCCCCCAGGTGCCCCCTGCAGCGCACCCCCCTCAGGCAGCCCCATCTGAAGCCGGGTCGGGGGGGACCCAATCCCAAAGGGAACGAAGGGCTTTGAACAGACAGACGAGTGCACCCAGCGGGGAGCCTCTGTGCTCGGCCGGGGGGAGGCCTGGCCGCGTGGGCGATGCGGCTCGTCGAG